GGCCCGGCCCGCAACCCCGGACGAAGCCCTCTCCCTCCTGCGCTGCCCTCCCCCGCAGGGTTCGCAGCGTCGCAGCGTGGGGTGGTTGTCTTCGTACTAAATGCAGCTTGCTAAGGTGGCGTCCACCACTAGCTGTAACCCCCTAAGACCAGGATTGGGCAGTGAGCACGGAAACACGGACTGAGTAGAAGGAGCCAGGGATGAAGAGGCAGGCAGCGTTTAGAGGTACGGGACAAAGCGGGAGGGCAGCGAGCGGCCCGGACGGAGGCTCCAGCAGCAGGGGGGTAGTTGGTATCTAGATGCTTTTCTCCACCTACAGCCACTTCCGGGAGCGCAAGGACTGAGACCCTCGGGGTACTCCAGTGCTGCTGGCAGTTATGTAGTCCTAGCAGACAGCTGTTGAGGGCAGAGGGAGACACCAACTGCAGTCAGGGTGTTTTGCTTGTGTCTCTAACCTTGTGAAGTTGTAGAATCAACGTTCAGTCACCTTCTGCCACTGATCTCCTGTCTTAACTGAAGAGGCTCTTGAAAAGTCTTACTACTTCACCCCCCACCATACCCATTCAGGAACGTGAATGTAGCCCTTTCTTGTTCATAGCTGGCATTATACTTGAGCCATGCCTCCAGTCTAGCGTTTTGCTGGTTAATATCTTACAAATTTAAGAGTGAGGGAAGGGGTGGGGAGGGGAGGGATGAGTGAGAATGTTGGAAGGGGTGACCTAGATGAAGATGAATCATATTCACAAACTGCTGTTAAGCGGGAACTCCTTTGTACAACTAAAGATTTTTTTAAGGACTAAAAGGAAAAACCCTAGGGGTGGGAAAGTGGCTCAGTGTAGAGTGCTTGCCTTGCATGCATGAGGCCCTGGGTTTGATTCCTCAGCACCACTTAAGCAGGAAAAAAAAGCCGGAAGTGGCGCTGTGGCTCAAGTGGTAGAGCGCAAGCCTTGAGCTGAAGAGCTGAGGGACAGCGCCCAGGCCCAGAGTTCAGGCCCCACAACCGGACCCGAAAAAGAAAAACCCTAAGCATAGAGTGGTTGAGTCACTTGGCCATGTAACATCATAGCCATGATTCACACATTTCACTTCCTCTGGTGTTAATGACATGTTTCTTTTTATCAGCAACAAACTACCAATACCGTAGAGGAGCCCTTAGATCTCATCAGGCTCAGCCTGGATGAGCGTATTTATGTGAAGATGAGAAATGACCGAGAGCTTCGAGGCAGATTACATGTAAGTCAATATGTCAGATTACCGTGAGACCAACTTTCCTTATCCTTTTCTACCCTTGCTCCTTCAAAATGTTAAAAGCTACCACTAAGCTACACTCTAAACCTCATGATCCTCAGCCTCCCGAGTGCTGGAATTGCAGACGTACTCCACAATGCCTGGCTTTTTTGTGCCAGTCCTAGCACTTGAACTCAGGTTCCTGAGCTTCTTTTCTTAAGGCTAGCACTCTATCACTTGAGCCATAGCTCCACTTTCAGCTTTTTGGTGGTTAATTGGAGATGAGAGTCTCCTGACTTTTCTGCCTCTGCTGACTTTGAACCACAATTCATATCTCAGCCTCCTGAGTAGCTAGGATTACAGGTATGAGCCGTAGGCACTCAGCTCTGACTATCATTCTACCCTAAACTGATTAACTCACTCATTGGGCATTGATGTCAGGTTCTATTGCTTTAGTGTTTTAAATGATGTATACCCTGAGAGCATATTACAACTACTAACCTGTTTTGTAGTTGAGGAAGCTCAGGCTCAGAACTTCACAGTTGCTTGCTCAAGGTGACATCCCAGTCATTCCAGGGCGAGACAGAATATGAACCCAGGTGGTCTCACTTCAGCCCCAGTCTAAAGCTTAAAAAAGTACTGTGGTTACATCTTTCATGACGCCTGAAGTAAAGCAACAGTAAGGTTAGGAAGGGCATAGGGAAAAAGGCAGATAGTAGGCTTAATATAAACACAGCTGAGCTTAATTACATGGATCGGTGGCAGATGTCGAGAGCACGTCTTGGAGGCGTCCGTTTCCTGTGCAGACTCAACCCCAGCTTGCTGTGTCTTCTGCCCCTCAGCCTCAGCCTAGTGCTCCCTGCCTGCAGTGCCCTGTGGCAGGTGGGCTGCCACTTCTGTCCTGTCAGTGGGGGCACCATGCCTCACTGTTAGAACTAAAATGGAAGTGGGTTCTGAACAAGACCCCAGAAAGTTCACTTTTTAGGAAAATTTATTTGGAGGTTGCATCAAATATCTTAGTGGCCACATTTACCAGGCCACAGGTCCTGGACATGGTATTGCTCTGCCTATTTTACCTTTGTGGTGTTTAGTCCGCACCAGGCCAGTGGTGCCCGTCATCTTGGCTCGCATGCCTGCCTCCCCTGTCACTGACAAGGCCAGCAGGTTTTCACAGCACTGTCAAAGATGCAGCTGCCAGGAATAACAAGCAGGGTGCCACTTCAGAATAACTCCATTATTTTGAGCACATCATTTTGGGGCATAAACTTACGTTTTATTGGATGAATAAAGTTGTCATTAGAAATGATTTGTAAAGAAATGGGCTATCCCACTAAAAGTTAGTTTTTTTGTCTTTGTTTTTTAATATGAAGTTTGTGGCATATGCACTGAAAGTGTACCAAGTAATCAAGACATTTGCACTGAACGTGTAGCGTGTAATCGAGACACTGGTGTTGTGTCCCTTTAGTTGTTTCTCTGATCTTTTGATTCCTCACACCTCAGGCTTACGACCAGCATTTAAATATGATTCTGGGAGACGTGGAAGAAACTGTGACCACCATAGAAATTGATGAGGAGACGTATGAAGAGATATACAAAGTAAGGAATTTTGTTGTTTTCTACCTACATATTATCAGTCTTACATATATTTATGGGAAGCCTGACAGTGTTTTCTTCGGTTTGGTTTTCTGCTGGGGTTGGGACTTGACCTCAAGCCTGGCTGCTGTGCTTGAGTTTTTTTGCTGAAAGCCAGCACTTCATCCCCTGAGCCGCAGTTCCATGTTGGGTTTCCCCTCTGATTAATTGGGATACGAGTTTCATGGACTTTCCTGCCCAGTCAGGCTTCAAACCGTGATCTTCAGATCTCAGTCTCCTGAGCAGCTAGGAATACAGGCGTGAGCTACCAGTACCCAGAAAAAAATTTGAGAAATTTCTTGAATACTAGTTCGTTCAGAAACATGAAACTATCATAGGATTAAGATGTTACAGTTCTTTTTCCTTAGTTGTTTTGTCATCTTCTTTTGTATTTTGAGATAGAATCTAACTATGTAGCCTATGCTAGTCTTGAACACACTTTCCCTCGGCCTTATCCTCTTCGTGCTAGTATAACAGGCATGCACTACCATACCCTGCTCATAAGTAACAGATCTAGTGACAACCACCTAACTTCTAAAACAAAACATTTAGTGTAAAGCATTTGTTTTAAACATTTGAGAATCTCTGATGCCAGGCTTGATGATGACTAGAGTTGCAGCCATGACTTGCTATAGCTGAGAAAAGTCTGACCACAGAGATGGGTAGTATACTTTGTGGATACTTGCTTTTGACTTTATATCCAGACTCCAAGTGATAGGTTTTTTGTTGTTGTTAGTTTGTCAGTCATGAGACTTCAACTCAGGCCTGGGCGCTGTCCCTGAGCTTGAGCAAAAGAAGCTCAAGGCTAGCACTCTTATCACTTGAGCCTCAGCACCACTTTCAGCTTTTTCTGTTTATGCAGTACTGAAGAATCAGACCCAGGGTTTCATGCATGCTAGGCAATCACTATAACTGAGCCACATTCCTAGCCCGACAAGTGGTAGTTAGATTAGTGGGACCAAGGCATCAGAAACCATGTCAGCGAACTTGTTCTATTGTTCAAGCAGTAACAGCAAGCCCTTATCTGCAAAGTATTAGTTCATGAGTTATCACTGTCTTCCAAATAATGGTACATTTCATTAGTCATTTTCACGTAATCACTAGTGATCTCGTTGGAAAAGCCTTTTAAGTATTACAAGATCAGTCTGATTCTGCTAGACTCTAGTAATTAAAATGTGGACTCCTGGACTCTATGTTCACCTCATATATAACTGGGCCAAGTTACCTGGCCTGTGTTAAAGAGGTAATAAGATAATAGAACCCACTTCATGTGGCCATGGCAGATTCATGGAAATGTTACAGGAGAAGCCTTCAGGTTAGTGATAGCACCTTGTCAACATCAGCGTCTATCCCTGTCTTCCTTCTCCAGTCCAGTCATTCCTGGCTTCCTCAGCAGAGACTCACACTCTCATTCTCTCTCTCTCTCTCTCCCTCCCTCTCCTTCTCTCCTCTCTCTCCGTTTCTCCCTCTCCCTTTCTCCCTCTCTCCCTCCCTCCCCCCCACCTCTGAATGTGGGCATTTGGCTGTCAATCAGAGTTGCCACATAAGAGCTTGTCTTTGTAGGTGTTTTACATTCCATATCATAGGTTTTGAACATGGCCACGGTAATAATATTCCAACTCTAAAGGGAACTTCCTTTTCTTATATTTTAGCATCTCTAGGTCTGGCTATTGTCACTCAGATAAGAATGCACTGTCAGTTAAATTAGCAGCATTTTTCCCTTTTTAGTTCAAACAAAGTTTTCAAAAATGTGATGAGATATGGTGTGTGCAGTTGTGTGTTGATCTAAGCATTTTACCCTCACTATAGGCACTTCATAAATGTACCTAATATTGTTTTAATATTGCCTGCAACACAAGAGGCTGACTTCAGCTGTGTGTCCACTGTAAGAGAGGGATGGGACACCACTGCTCCTTCCGGGTTTATGGTGACCAAGAACAGAGCTCATCCAAGAACTGAAGAGGGTGTGTGTGTGTGTGTGTGTGTGTTCCATCGTATGTCACTAGCACTGACCTTTGTACAGACAACCAGCTCTGCCTGTAAGTCTGCCACTCTGGGTGACATGCACACTGCCTCTCTTGCTTCCAGAGTTGCTACTGTCAACAAGCAGGCAGAGCGGGTTTACTTTGTGAGATGTCTTCTGCACTGCCATGACTTGTTGTGTAAAGTGTTACAAATGAAATCACCAGATGATTGAAAATGTGTTTCTTGCTGTGTCTAACAGAAAACAGTTTTGTCTGGAAAGTGTGGCGCATGCATGCTGCTTTGTGCTGCAGGCCTGTCTGCTTGCCCATCCCGTAGGTTTTACACACAAGCAGTAGTGTCTCTCTGGAGTGTCAGTGTATAAAGGACAGATAGCGGAGTCTGGGAGTGGCTGTGGTGTCACTCAGCACCACGGACAGCTACCCTCGTCCCTCTCCTGTGCACTCCTCATTTCCTTCCAAGGCAGGAAACCAGACTCGGTGGTTTCTCACCTTGGCCTAGGCTTTGTTTCTCTCCCTTTCCTCTGTTGAAATACTAATGAACCCCAGCACTTCCTAAACAGGAGGACGCCCACAGAGTGTAGGTGCTCTGTGGGCCTTTTTCCCGTAACTTACATAACCCACGTCTGAATGATTTAGCTGATTTCTGACTTGCTCATGGGAAGCAGAAAACCGGAACCTTCACTCCTCCACAGTGGAGCGGTCACTTTGTGGGCTGCTGAAGGGCTGTAGTTTTTGGCCCCAGCCAGCATCCTGTTTACCGCCTTCCTTCACGCATCACCTCATCGTTTGGCTCGGCACTTGGTCTCTCTTGGAGGTATTGGGCTCTTCATAGCTGCACCATGTGCCTTCTGCCTTCTGGGCTTTCTCTCCCCCATGGAGCTCTATCTGCGATGTCTCTCAAATCCTTGTGCACCATTTGCTTCCGTAAGCCTGCAGAGAATGCCCTGCCCTCAATCTGATCTGTCCTTAGGAAAGTCTCCTCAACCTAAACGTTCAGCCTTGTTCATCACAGTGTTTTAAAAATACTTCTATAAACTGGGTTCTAAAGGTAACGTGTTTTAGCAGTGCCTACTTACATTTGCCTTTTCCAGCATCTTCTTTCTCCCATGCCTATTTGGGAGGTCTCTGGGCTACTCTCCAAGTTTTACCTAATATTTTGCCAAGGCATAAGAGAATTTCAAACATGCCATGATTTCCTGACTGCCCAAGGCCTGACCATTCAGCAGAAGCCGCAAGGTGTGATTGTGTACTTGTGCTGCATGCACAGACAGACATCCTGGCTGAGCACAGTGGAAGCTGGTAGTCTGCCACGTGAAGTCCTCGGTAGGCATGTGGCTCTGCCAGAGTTGGTCCTGTCTTTCAGGGCCCCAGCCTTGGGTGGCTCTGCTGCTGCCAGTCCTCAGTCCAACAGGAACAAGTGCGGACAGCCATGCGTGGGCGGCTCATGGGCCGTCTGGATCCTGTCCTTGTCTCTCTGGTTTCCAGAGAGCATGGGGAAAGTACCTGGCTGTCACCCAGGAAGAGCAGAGATGGTACTGCCATAATGTCAGTACCCAGGAGAAGGAGGGTAGATGGGTGGGTTCTTCATGCTGCAGAGGTGAATGATCAGGTTTTCAGTCCAGTTGTTTGCCTTATAGCCAGCCTTTAAATTTTCATCTCTCACACACAGAGAAATACATGTTTGTAAAGATGCATTTTGGGTGTTTTCTTCCTTTCTCTTCCAGTCAACAAAACGGAATATTCCAATGCTCTTCGTCCGGGGAGATGGCGTTGTGCTGGTTGCCCCTCCTCTGAGAGTTGGCTGAAATGAAGAATTTATCACGTTTAGAAAGTAGGAGACTGTACAATTGCAGTTGTAAAATATACAAGACGTTCAGAGAGAGAAGCCTGCTTGGTTTTTTGATATTAAGACATGATCAAAGACTCTTCTCCTCCAAGATGAGTTGATCTGCAAGTGACTTACAATTTCTTCAGCTGAATTCTTATTTTTCTCCATTTGTTCTAATAAACATGATCACCAAGCTGCAGGACTCCTCAGGAGTGATTTGCTCCAGTATTCCTACAGACAGTTTCTGATTGTTTTTCCTCAAATTAAATTTGATGTTTACGTCATTTGTTTTTTTATTTATTTTTTTGTGGGTTGTGGGATTTGAACTCTGGGCCTGGATGCTGTCCCTGAGCCCTTCAGCTCAAGGTGAGTGCTCTACCACTTGAGCCACAGTGCCACTTCTGGTTTTCTGGTGGTTAATTGGGGGTCTTTCAGACTTTCCTGCTTGGGCTGGCTTTGCACTGCAATTCTCAGATCTCAGCCTCCTGAGTAGCTGGGATCACAGGCATGAGCCACCAGCGCCCGGCTTGATTTTTTTTTTTAACTGTAGTCTTCTATCATAACTTTTCCTGTCCAGCATTCACAAGACACATGGTTGGGCACCAAGAGGATAATCAGGGACCAGAGCTGTTGATAGCCTGCCCTCATATTCTGTGATGAGATTTCTAGCTTAAGACAGCCATACTTAAAGGAAAAGTATAAACCTGTTGCAGTTGTAAAATTTTATCAAGATAGGGCCTTCTAGGCTCCAGTGGCTCATGCCTGAAAACCTAGCTACTCAGGAGGCTGAGATCTGAGAATTGCAGTGCAAAGCCAGCCCGGGCAGGAAAGTCCTTGAGACTTTACAATTAATCACCAAAAAGCTGGAAGTGGGGCTGTGGCTCATGTGGTAGAAGGCTAGCCTTGAGTGTGAGAGCTCAGGGACAGCGCCTGGGTCTTGAATTCAAGCTGCAGGACTGCACAAAAGGAAAAAATAGAGCCTAGAACTGATGCCCTTCACTGTGAAATGTAGAACTCTGCCTTGTGGAGGACTGGTCGCTCACGCGAGCATGGTGTTCCATCCACCTGCAAGATCCCTTCAGCAGACATCATGGCTTCGCTTCACTGGACCTGCCCCTCCGAGATTGCTGAGCAGACAGACAGGTGTGAGTGAGCTGATGAGTGGTATCTTGGGTGAGGAGCTAGAGGCCCCTCCTGTCTCTGGCCAGCTTCACGCTGTCCTTAAGCTTTAGTGGCCTGCGAGGTAACCTGCTTGCCACAGCCTATTCACTGGAAAAAGGAGGACTTAGCAATTGTGGCAATAGCCAGTGGCCATTCTCTGGGTGCACGCTTAGTGGCTGCCTGCATACATAGTAACGGTAGTGATGCACTATAAGTGCCTGTTTCTTGGACATCGGTCTCAGGCAAAGGTACTCTGCATTTGAGGTGGCGGCGTGATGGACCCCTGCCTGTGTGGGTATGTGTGCCACAGGTACCGCAGACGTGCAGCTCCAGGCACGAGCTCCACGCTGCACCTCAGCCAGGGCACGGGGACTCTGCCTTCCACCGCACCTCACGCTGTAGAACTCTGCATTGCATGTGTCCTTGGTGGATTGGACATGCATGCTTAATTCCTGGACACTGCCTCATTCTTCCGTCATCTGCAACCAACAGAGTGCATTAGAACAGGAAGACTTCTTAGGTATATTTCTTCTAAGTCACTGATACCTTAAAATTTGACACACTGCCTTTCAGACACAGAACTCAACTGCCACAAGCAAACATCTGTGTACCCACCTAGCCGCCAAGATACAGGATGAGGACATAAGAGGAGCTGCAGAGCAATGGTGGTCTGTAAAAACTGCCCTAAAGGGAAAGGAGGCCACATGAGTTTGGGAACCGCCGTGGCACTAGGCTCTGAGCACTGGGGACAGCCACGCACAGCCCCACCTCTACAAATCTAGGGGTGGATGTGGCAGTTGTGAGAGGGCCAGGGATGGCTCCCGCCATGGCCATCCGCTAGGGATCCTCCACGGGAGCTGGAGTGGAGATTCCTACAGCAGTGTCACCAGGGGCCTGGGGGCATGGCCAGGTGGTAGAGCACCTGTGTGCCAAGCACAGCCCCGAGACCACCTTATAGCATCGTTGGGTGGATCTACATTTACTGAATTTCACGTCCCACTTGCGGCTGCCTTGGCAGGGCCAGACACTTCCCACCCCTACAAGTCTGGACAGACCTCCACACATCCTTTACTCTTGTCTGTTGGACCTGGCTACTGCTCACACTCCTCTTAGCTGCCCTCGAGAGGAATATTCCCTTGTGGGAACCTTTGCCAGCTGTGAGTAATGCTCACTGTGTAGGGGATGGAAAATAACTGTTCTAAGGGCCATCCCCGCTGGATTGAGCAGCACGGCATGGTGGAGACTCGCTCAGCCAGCTCTTCCTTGTGGCCTGCGGCCAGCTGCACCAACCTCTCTTGGTTGGCCATTCTGGCGCAGGAGGCTAATGGGCTCTGCCTGGCCAGGCCGGGGTCACATGCCACCCAGCGGGGAGGCAGGACACTCCGCCACTGCTGATCAGGTTCTTGGAGCACGCGCACCACGGCGGGGAGGTTTTAAGCTATTGTGGACCCTCAGAACTTGGATTGCCTGATGGGTGACGGGAAGGTGGAGCTCAGGCTTGTTCCCTGGCCTGGGAGCTCCAGTGGGGCACCTGCAACACACGGGGGCGTGCTAGGCAGGGGTACGCGCTGGGCTCTGAGGGCTTCTGGGGAGGGTGGTATCGGCAGGGGCCGCGCTCGCACAGGCAGGGGCCGGCCCATCAGCTCTGAGTGCAGATTAAATGGCCAGACCGGGGCCAACAGAACAACAGTGGGCACGGCACAGGGTGGAAGGAGGTGGACCGGGAAGGCCCACAGACTCCGGCTGTGCTACACGAACCAGCCACCCACTGCAGGATGACAGCCTAGTGTGCTCCACCCCTGCCAGGTGCACTGCTCGATGGTCATGAACCAGAGCATGCACGTTCTTATTGTCTTGGCTCCTTCTAGAAGCTCCTCCTAGACAAGGAAATGGCATGCCCCCTGCAGCGTATGGTATTGATTAGCCTGGGGTTTTTCTGGGTGCCCCTCCCTCCTGCTTACTGTGCCAAGGGGAAGGGATCTGGGCTAGGTTGCTGACAGGAGCCCGAGTCCTCCCGCCCCGTGCCCACTGTTGTTCTGTTGGCCCTGGTCTGGCTGTTTAATCCGCATTTGGAGCCGATGGGCCAGGCCCCGTGCCTGTGCGCGCATGGCCCCTGCGGATGCACTGCCCTCCCGGGAGCCCTCAAGACCCCAGCGCGCACCCCCAGCCTAGCACGCCCCCTTGTGTTGCAGCTGCCCCAGGTGCCCTGAGCAGACGAGAAAGTGTCTGGAGGAGGGTGCAGTGGGGAGGAGCAGATAGCCTGGCTGGGGGACCGCGTTGTGGGGCTGCCGTGGAGAGCTGGGGGGCCCAGTGGCCCCCAGGTACACATCTTACGTCTGTCCCCCCTCTTTCTCCCTGGGGAGTCTTCAGGAGAACTTGATCTGCTCAGTGAAAAATAACGATCAAATGTTCCTGCATGTCCGGGTCTGCAGGGGGCTGGCTGAGGCTGAGGCTCTGGAGGCCAGGGAGCGGGGCAGCCCCAGCCGGCCTGGGTCTGGGGAGGAAACATCTGGCCTAACAATGTTTTCCTGGTCAAAGGTCAGCAGGCGTCGCTTGAGCCAGGGAGGACCCTGGGAGATGGGGTGAGGAAGGCAAGGGTTCGGCACCTTCATAGAACGGGATGCAGAGCTGGCCAGTAAGATCTGCCCAAGGCCACAGCAGACAGCCAGGCAAAGCTCATCCGAAAACAGACCACTGGGGGCTCCTCCCGGCAGGAGGCAGGCCCCCGTCTCCCTTCCCCCTCACTCCCTCTGCCCCGTCCTTCATACAAAGGTCTTGCTCTTGCGAGGCAAGCACTCTACCACTTGGGCCATGACCCAAGTTCTTTTTGGGTTTAATTATTTTGGGGATAGCTTGTATTTATGTCCAGGCCTGCTTGGACTGGAATCCTAGTTTTCCCATGTAGATGGGATGACAGACATGTGCCACCAGGCCCGGCTTATTGGTTAAAATGAGGGCCCAAGAACCTTTAGTCCATATTGGCATCAGACTACATCCTCCTCACTCCACCTCCCAAATACCTGGGATTACAGAAGTGACCCCCATAGCTGGCACCTTTGTTCCTTAGGAATCAACAGCAGCCACTGGAACAAATGGGAAATATACTTCCATGCTCACAACAAGGCAAATGGCTACTTTCCTCCTCCCCAGACCTGGTGGGAACAGCAGAGTTGGGAATCAAACCTGCGTACCCTGCTCTCTCACCTGCAGCATTGTAAATGTTGTCAAGCCTTTCACACTGTCTGGACCTACCGGCTCACATGGAGGGGAACGAAGCCAGCCAGTGCACCCCTGAGCAGCTTGTGTTAATGCTAAACTTATGGGTTTCATTTCGTCTTTTAGTTAAAAGTATCTTAACTGGTACATAAAAACATAAACATGGGCGCCAGGAGTGGAGGTGCACAGCTGTACACTCAGGGGGCGGACACAGACAGCCTGGCTGGGGGAGCTTGCAGCTGGCCCTGTCTCAGAAAACAAAACCAGGGTCAGGTACAGTGGCGCAGGTGTGCCTGTGCTCTCTGCCTCCCAGCAGAGGTAGGAGTGGTAGAGAAACTCAGAAAACATGAGGTCCTGAGGTCAAGCCTCAGTACCATTAAAAAGCAAACATATCATCAATGAGTAGCATGGATGTTTTAATACAGAAATGTTTTTGTAAGGGTTAAATATCTCCCCAAACATGCATCCTTTTGAACTTGTGGCAAAACTTCTAAACCTCTTTCTTCCAGATTTGTAAAATGCACATTAATGAACGAATGTACATCGTCACCGAGAATCACCTTCCTCCATTAACAGCCCAGAGCTTCTTGGGTCTCTGTCTCAAACTTACACCCTCTAACTGCCACCAGGGGGCGCTGCGCACCTTGCTTTTCCACTTCGATTCCACTTGGTTTGCAGTCGATGCATATGAATATTGGACCACAAAGCCTGTGTCATCTAGTTCCTTAAAGCCAGACGGCTTGTGGAACTCCAACACTATGCTATCTGCTGGTGCCAGGAACAAAGGAAGAGCATACGTAACATGCACTGTGGGCGCCAGGAGGAACATCACCGTGGCCCACAACGCGGAT